TCTTTGCTAATTTGTTAGTCAGGTACCTTGTTCTTTTCAGCTTTAATTCCTTCCTTCAATAAATTTCAATACAAGTGGATTAATTCAGAAATAAAAAGACATGTTCCCTCTCAGTGCACTTGCCTGCAGAAACTAAATGTTGTCTTCTGTTCTGGAAAGATGCAACCACCAGAACCATTCATGGATTTGGCTTTCTCACCTGAACAAAAAATACAAGCCAGAAAATACAAGCAGAAAAGTTTCACTATGTTTTCTTTTTAAATCATAAAACTCAAGTCCAGATTAATTCTAGTCTTACCAAATATATAAAATGCCTTTATCTTGTTGATAGTAATATTGGTTATTTTAAAATATTTTTAAATTCTCACTTCCATATACAGCCACCAGGAAACGAAATACCATTGAAATGGGAAGGTTACATCAAACTTCTGACCTAGGCAATTATAAAACCAACATCATCAGAGTGCTGGGTAGTACAGTATTGATTTACTATCTAATTTCTGCAGACATGAGGGATTGAGAGAAACTAGATTGAGATAGAGTGCATTTTTGTTTGTTTGTTATGTGCAACTGCTTTATCAGGGCAGTGAACAGCGATCGTCATGAAGATAAATCAGTAAGTGGAATGATCTAATGGAGATGAAAGTTGGAGGTTTGTAAAGATTCTTTTTTCTCAAATACAAAATGGAAACCATAGCAATTCATAGACTAATGCCCATTTGCACACATTTACAACAGTTGAAGCATTTTGTTTTTAAAATAATCCCAATACTTTGGCTTTCTTAGTATTTCTTGAGTCCTATATCCCTGTCATTAAGAAGAATCTTTTGTAATTATAATGAACAGAGCTATATTATCTTTGATATGATTTTTAATGCCACTTATTATGACAAAAAGCTATATTGGGGTGTGAAATGAGAATTGTATTTCCTGGTCAGACTGTTTCTTCAGTCTGTATAGCAGATATAAACCAAGTCGCTTGCATCATTTTAACCATTACCAAATAAATGCCATTATGATTTTCAGTGCAGCTCCTACTCTGGAATAGATTGACTTCCTCATTCTGTCTGTAAGAGCAGAAGCCCCCTGCAAATACCATTGGCTTTGGAGACAATTGATTGTGCATTCTTAGCATTTTCTCTGCTACTTGTAGGAGCTATAAGACTGTATAGCCAAATTCTACATGCCATGGATTTATTTGGCTCCATTTAATAAATAAAATACTCATCATTTTCCCAAATGATGGTAGTGTCAACATAGGCAGCCTAATATTTGAGGAAAGGTTTTTCAAGGAGGTTAGATTCAGACTGCCTTGTGTGTGATTTTGGTTTAATCCTGTTACCATAGATACACTGGGGTCATACAGGGTATTTCTGTACCAAGGCCATGCATTCACTTATTTCCTTTCTCCCGTTGTTTCTTACTTTTAGCCCCAGTTCCTGCTGGGGATGAAAGATGAATCTGAGCAGTGTAACTTTGAAAAAAAGTATTACAACATTAAGAAAAAAAAGTTCATTCATGTTTCAACAGTCATTTACAAAGGGATTACTTACTGCATGTTTCCAGCTGTTTCTGGTATACTTTGAACTCTGTTGTTTTGTAAGCTTTTCTAAATGCAATTAAATCAACCTAGAAATAGTGCAGCTCAGGTTCTCCCTGTATGAACTACAGTGTGTGAATTAATACGAGGAAGTCTATGAAGGTTAGTGTATCTCCTATTATTATTATGAGGTAGTTCCTATTGATCTGGTAATAGAATGTGAATAGTTACTGTTCACTTAATGTATTACAAAACACTTTACACTTCACTGGTTAAACATTTTCAGTGCAGACATAATGATCATTTTGACACAGTAAGATCCAAAGTGTTTTCAGTTCCTATTGCTCAGTATTTGTATTGTGGCTTAAGAGTAGATAAGAATGAATGTAAACATCATGTTTGTTTTCAGACCATTTCTTGATGCTGCAAGCATGCATTCGTCTTCAATAAGTCAAGTGAAGTCAGTAAAATGGCTTATTAAATAAGGAATATGCTTTAAGATCACTATTACACTTAGTAGCTGAAACACAAATTATGTGATCTAATACAACTCCAGTACATTTGTCATACCTAAGATTCAGAACGTAACTCATTCTACACATATAGGCTTTTTTCTCCTTTATCATTCTTTTCCAATTTAGCTAGAATTGAGAGCATTGTTATACTGTTGCCATCAAGCACAGTATTCATTTTGCAGGAGATGTCAACCACAGATGCTTTAATAATGTATTCAACATAATAATTAGGGCAATTTGCCTGTTTTATTCTAATGCTCAATAATCAGCAATTATTTTTAGCCTTAAAGTTACCAAGGTCTAGTTTTTATATCCTCTCTAACTCTTTTTTTCTTAGTCCATGCTACCATAACTGAACATTGCTGTAAATCATACTAGATCTAATCCCTTTAAAATCTTTGGACAATGACTGTTTAACGGCAGTGCTTCCTAAAGTCTGTTTCTCTAATGTTATACTATTACCCTTTACATGATTAGATTTCCTTCAGATTGGAGAACCTTGTTCTTATCTTGTGAAAGAAAAAGAATATGTTTAATATTCCTTCCTTAAATGTGTTTCTTAATATCTCCTTTGTGATTTTTTTTTTTTTTTTTTTAAATAGTCCCAATATTTTCAGTGTCCATGAACATAACATTTCTAGATTTGACTCCTTCCCAGTTACTTTTTATTTTATTTTATTTTTTTGACATCTAATGAAATAATGTGGTGATTCCTTCAGGCAGTATTTGTAATGAACATTACTGAGTGGCAACAACTTCAATATGTTTACATTAAGGCATGATTAATACCAAAGCTATTAAGCTATATATTGGGTAAAATTTATATCCAAAATAAGGCATACTGCTAATTAAGTAATTGTATTTACTGGTATATTCCCTGCCCAAGTATAAATTTGGTGATAAGCAGGTTTATTTAAGGGGCTTTGGGATTTCCATGTTTTTTCCTGCAGGATCAACAAAACTCAGCTTGCTTCTTGCACATGTGTCATTTTCCACAATTCAATAGTCTGCTGAAGTAGGTTTGTATTGAAACATTTAGTAATTTCAGTTAGAGTAAGTGTCTATGGTAGTTACTTGGAGTGATAACCGATGAGCTCAAAAGCAAATTGTTAACTTTCTGATAGGGTTAAACAGGAAGGCTAACCACATTAGTGGAAACTAAGCTTAGGGAGCTGTTATAAAAGCTGGCAAAAAATAAGTAATTAGATTTTTAATTCCTGTGTGACTGAAAATTGAACCAACATGCTCATTTAGAAAGACATTTTTTACTGATAATTGTGGTTTTATTAAATGCAGACTGTTGGAGTTTTGTTTCCAGTATGTAATACTTTATTCCAATTTTTTTTTTAATTAAATAAAACCTTTGAAATGAAGGCCTAAATTTTTTCACTGTTAAGACTTCTAGTACATTTAGATTTGAGAGAAATAAGAAATATAAATCATGTTTTACTGCATCAAAAATTGTACTGGCAGTTGTTATGGAAGTGAGAGTAAAAGTATTTTATATATCTTCACGTAGAACAGTTATGGAAAAGCATATGGTAAGCATATTTATGAAACTGATGTCAGAAAACAAGGTTTTTAGGAGCACCTAACTGATTTAGAAACAAAAGCACGGCTTGAAATCATGAGATGCATGCTTCTGAGGAATATAAGTACTTAAGAAAATCTGTGTCACGATGAAATAAGTGCTTGGATTTTAAAAATCACGTTACTGTTTTTTTTTTTTTTTTCCTACAAGACTCTCAGGTGCTCTATAAATTTTAGTGATCTGAAATAATTGCATAATTATTGGTATTCTCTTACTCCCCTTGGAAAGTGTTGAAATCAGAAACACTTTTGCTATTATCTACTTACTCAGTAAACTAAATCTGCAGTTTTGATAACACTGTCTTGCTGAAATGGTTGGGAAGTGTGACATTTAAAGCAAGGCGTGAACTGCTTTCATTACGAAATTCCTGAGATCAACATAATCAAATACTAATTAGCATTTACATAAGATGAATTTCCAAATAAGAACTATTTCACTTCATAGCTTTTTCTTTATAAAGTGAGGAAAATCAGTTTTAAGACATTTAGCTTTTTCTTCTGAACACGTTACATATTCACTTGCTTTTAGAACAGTTAGTCAATACAGGGAAGAAAGAAGTGTTAATGATAAGTATAAACGAAACAGCATTTATACTTTACACTGATTTTACAAAGGCCAAACAAATAATTTGATCCAAGTGCAATAACACAAAAAAGTGTGTATTAATTAATTGCCACTGATTTCTAGAGCAGTAAGTGAACTTAGTAAGTCTGTGCATACATATATGTGCTGTACCACACTGGTACTTTTTGCACTGTATTTACTGATTGCTGTGATTTTTATAGTACTTTAGAGAATAAATAAAAAGCTACATTTAAAAAAAAATCATAAAATAATTTATCTTTATAGGACTTTGTTGATCCCAGTGCTGACTTCTGACTTAAACTTGTTGAAAACATCCAGTCACTGACATATGTGTAGCTTTTCTCTTTTTCCTTAAATATCATGCATAACATTTTCATGAAGGCACTTGCACACACTGGTCAAGTCACTTGTCAGCCAATTCCTCTATACGGCACTTTTTAAAGCACTCTTATTTTTAAGTCTACTTTCTCCTTTCTGATATCCCCTCCTTCAAAAGTGTGTTGCTAAACAAATTGTAAGGGAGATTTAGCTTCATCCGAGTCAGTTCAGCTGAAAAATGAGAGTACTCTAGCCTTGAGTTAAGCATTAATTCCAAAACTGCTATAGAAGCTATAATAGGCTGAAATTTCTGATTAGAACATTTTTACCTAATGAAAAAGATTGTAAGTTGGGAAAATGCATAGCAATTTTGTGAGTAGAACTAAATATCTTACATACAAAGGAAAATTAAGTTTTAAAATAAATTCATTCTATTTCTGTTTATGTCCAGAAGCAATTCAGAGCTGCTAAGGAAATCATTAAAAATCTGTGTTCCATAACAACAAGTGGCATTGGTCATCTCAGAAGACAAAATATCACCAGGTAAACATGTTTCATGTACAAGAGACTCAAGTACTCCTTCAAGCTAAGCCCTGGCCACAGGACTGAAATAATATTAGACTCAGTCTATATTTCCAATAGGTATATCTACATTTTCTTAGGTAACCTTCTCAGTGAGAAAAGTAATCTACAAATATAAACAGAACATGGATTTCATCTCCCTTACCTATATTTGCTGCTCTAAGCCAGTTAGCTAGCACAGTATTCCTGGAAAAGGAGTTCATGGACAAATCTGATTTGTGAATCACTTTCTTGAAGTGTCTATGAACCCTGCAGATAGCTCGAGGGGATTTCTTTATCCCTTCAGCTGCCGCTATGATCAGGTTTTTAAAGTTTTCCTTAACTCACTACAGATGTGGCCATGACAATTAGCACATAACAGATCCCTCTCCAAATACTTAATGTGTTTTAAATGTTGTTTTTTTTTTTTTTTAAATCACATTAATTTTCAAAAAACTGGGAGTCTTGAATCACTCAGCTCTCCCTCCCTAGCTTGAGGTCATATACATTCAAGTAGGTCTTAAGACATTATTTTGATTATATTTCACACAGATAAAATCAGTTTTTATAGATTAGTGCATGCAGTTTACCCATGATATATAATTAATGAGTGTGCATAAATGGTTAATGATTTTTGCATAAATGGCAACACACCTGCTCATATTAACCATTTTGATTGTAACAATCCACATCAATTCTTGATATGTTTCCATGTAATTACTTTGAAATTATCTTCCAAATCTTTTCCAGAAATCCTAGCTGTTCACAGTATTTTATAATGTCAGATTCTCTGCAGCCCCTGGTCATCTGTTGAAGAATTTGGCCACAATTTTTCCACAGTTAGCTAGTACAGATCTTTTTCTTTAGTTTAGTGAATTTTTAAGCCAATCACTGCCCTTGACAGCAAGTCTGAGCAGGAGTATTGTTGGCGTTATTCATATTCTTTATCTGATTTAATAGAACTCTACAATTTGATAGAATTGTGTACATTTTTAAGCTACAATTAAACTAATAAAGTACAAATATTTTATTTTCCTGGAAAATATTGAAGATGTTTTTGATGCTTCTTACCTGTTCATTGTAGATGGATGAATTGATTGATGATCTTGGCAAGTAACGTTATACAGTAAGTATTCTAAATAAATTTCTAATTTCTATTGTCTTTTCTTTACTTTTAGATGTTTCTTTTCCTAAAGATCTTTTTACTTTAGTGTTATTTTATATTTAATTTTAGCTTTGTTCCATGTTATATATAACTCCTTTTTTTTTTTTTTTTTTTCCCTCCTATGTTCTCCTGTCCAGGAGGAATCCATTCTTTTTCTTGCCTTCTTGGCATCTGTTCTCTGTAAACTGTAATTAAGGTAGCTTTGATTCACTTATTGATACTGTGACCTGTAACATTCTGTAGGGCTTTATGCCTTTTCTTAGTCTATATTAGGGTATTCAGCTTGTTCTTACTAGTTTGCAAATACCTTATCCCTAAGTCATCTCAGTCAATTGTCGTTAAATAAATAGATTATATTGTAAAATAATTCAACAGCATGCACTTCTGTTTCATATATAGTTTTCTTCAGTGCCCCTGTATAATTCGTTTATTTGGAAATGAAGAGCTATAGTTGTGATGCATAAATCAGAAAAATTAATGCAGAGCAAAAATCTCCTACTGGAATATATTTTCTTGAGAAATTTTGAGTTTCACTGTGACAAAGAGTGCTTATTCCCTAATACAAGCATCACCCCCTGCAGAGAGCTTTCCCTTTTGAACTGGTGTAAATTGACTGAAGCTTTGTTGCAAGTCTCTCTGGAGTAACTGACATTCAGGTTGCTGACAGAAGAACCCTGCAGATAGCTCGAGGGGATTTCTTTATCCCTTCAGCTGCCGCTATGATCAGGTTTTTAAAGTTTTCCTTGAAGATGAGTTATAATTGAAAGGTAAACAGTTCTGGAAGCTTCTGTGGAAGACAGAGTTAAAGCAAACAATTGAAAAAAAAAAAAGAAACAAAGAATGAATGAAACCCTTAAGAACCAATGACCCATCGGGGAACAAAAGGTGAAATAGCTCTAATTGAACAATCAAGTTTACACTGAAAAATAAGATGGAGTTTCACTGAAAAATCCTGTATGGTAAGATTTTACACTGTTAATCGCATGACTGTTCTGAGATACTACTGTCAATGCTGAGGTTAGTGCACAGCTTCAGCTTCACTTTCTGTTGAGAAATTTAGAAAGAAAAAACAGGAAAAAGAAGAGTTTTTGAAAAAACATTTGTAAAGATTAGCGACCACTGTGTTACAAATGGCATCTCCTCAGTTGTTTTAAGAGGAAGCCTTTCATGCAGAAAGAGTAGTCAAGTGGTCATCCTTTAAGGACTTCGAAGTCCTTTGGGAATGTTTGCTGAAAATGCCAACGCGACTGGCTTTGATTTTACATTCTACATACATTTGTAGAATCTATTTAAAATTATCATATGTTGCAGTCTAACTGCAAACTCATCAAAGTTATATAAATGTTCACAACTTTTTGTTTGTAAATGTGTTCCAAATTTTCTACTGTACTCTCTCCTGTCTGGCCTGTTCATGAACCATACAGTAATATCCTGTATGAGATAATTTACATTCTGTGAGAGGCTTAATTGTACAACAGTGATTTAAATTATCCATAGGACCAAGATTGTCAATCACAGTACAAATAGCTATGCTTGAGGAAAATTATTACCAGCAAAACAGATGAATTTTATAATCTAAAGCAACTGACATACTCGTGTTCTTATTCACAATGGGCCCTGAGTTCTGCATGGTACCTTTAGTGTCAGTTAAATTCATGCCAAACTAAAATAAACCACAACTCAAGGAGAAAATACTTAAACCTGGTTTGAAATGTGATGATAGTTTAGCTGTTATTAAAATAGCTGTATTTCTGAGATTTTGCAGATTGATACTTACTCCTTTTTACAGTCACCATATTTTGGAGGTCATTCAAAATCTACAGAGATTGTTTCTGGAATCATTTGCTTCATTTGAATACATCTTTCTGAAAAAATATCTTCATTTTGATTATTCTGGGCAGAGGTGGTAATTCATGTTTTTCCTTCCCACACTTGATAATTTGCTGCTGTATTTTCCCCCTGTGCTGTGGATTAAGTCATGTTTCCTCCATAACATTTTACAAATGCCCTAACATGTTTTGGGATGTACCTGTAGCTATCAAGGCAGAGTAATCTGAACATAAGTGAACCTAAGCTTTTGCTAAACAACCTGTGTAATGAGGAATCTAGAGACACTGATGTTTTTTCACAAGCGCTATAATAACTTTCTTGCTTCTCTCAGCGTTAGTGATCTCTTAAGAATGTCCTGTCCCCTTCTCATTGTGTTCTCTAGTGCTGAGTTCCTGTCTGTAGGATAACATCTAGTCCTTTCCCACTTGCTCATTTGGTTTCCTTATCCCCACAGCCAGGTGTGTGAGCATAGAAACTCCCCTTCTTCACAAGCAGCAGAATGAAAGTTCACACAGAGTTCTAAATTCAGGTTTGAGGTCCCTCATTTGACCATTCCACCTTTTCCAACGAAGAAGAAATAATAGACAACAACTTCTTTTCAATTTAAATAGATATCTCTACAAATAAGTCATAGTTGAGCAAAAGAACTATGCTAACTGGATTGTTTCCACCTTCCACAGTGGAGTTAAGCTTATATTTAACTCATGGAGCTGGTAATTCTATACTTCTATGTTACTCAGTATTTCTCACTGGGAAACCTCATTTTAGCATGCTCCTGATTTGGCAAACTTTCTCATTTTTTTCTGTTTTTCCAAGAGAGGGATTTCTTGAACTTGTTTGAATTTTGTTTTTATTGCTTAGATTTATGAAAATGTATTAGTTTCTTACCATTCAAGGAAATTAAGGAAAACATTTTTCAGCAAGGTCAATATTTCTACTGAGTCTCCCTGGAGAAGCCTTGGCACCTCTGTGTTTGGAAAAAGGGTTGGAAATATGGCAGGAAGCGTGCCCAGTAAGTTTGAATTTCCTTTTGAGTCCAAGGAAATCAGCACATGCATATGGCATATGTAAAATATGCTGTTTATGTATTCTCAAGACAGATGTCTTTTTTTGCAATTTACCCATCTGCACTGGATTCTCTCCTGTCCAGACTCTTTTCTTTTTTTTAAATTTTTGTTTACCTATCTATGCAGTAACTGAAGAGTGCAATTGATACTGAAACATCTGCTTTTCTTCTACTTTCAGTCATTTCATGCCGACGGTCTTCCTGGTTTTTGCACAGAAGGAAGATGAGAAGAATACACTGATGGAGAAGGCTGAAGGAAAAAGATGCTGTCAGTAGAAGGAAGAGCTTGGGTGTAAGTAATAGATGAGGAGGTGATGAAGTGAGTTGCTAAGGAAGTTTGAAACCATGCAGAAACAGAAAAAACATGTACAGGAAATTAACAATAAAAAGTGGTTTTCATAAAGAACTAGAATTGGACCTATGATCATCATAAAACTTGATTTTCCTGAGCCTGGAACTGAATAAAAAATTCTTAGAAATCTGCATGCCTGTGCTTGTTAGTAAATTGCTGGGAAGTCCAGTGAATATTCTTTGTAACTTCAGTTTTCATCTGTGTTGACTGAGAATGAATTGTCTATCCATAGTCACAGAAAACTGCCATGGGTAACTATTTTGCAGATTTAATCTCTGCTAATTATTTATATCAGTGACTTTGATCAGGCCACATAATGGATTTTTTTTTTCATTATTTTTCTTTCCTGAAAGTTTGAAAGCAATTTTGCTTGTAAATATTTTGGGTATAATATATCTTGGAGTCATCTCAGACATTTTATAGTTCTATAAACACGTCAGCTCCCAAGAAAGTACCATTCTGCTTTAAAACAATATGCCAGTTTCTCATAAAGTGTCTGAACTTGTTATTCTGTACAGTATGTGGTTTTTTATGTTTGTTTGTTTTGTTTTGTTTTTTTTCTTTTGTCAAAGTTTTAACAAGTTTGTCTTTGGAGAGAAGAGGAAAACAAAATAAAACTTCTGGGAGATGGGAGCCATCTGCCCCTGTTACAAAGAACACCAAGGGGATTTCAGCACTTTTCTGTTTGTCAACGAATGGCAGATTGTGATAAATCAGGCACACAATAAGAAATGCCAGTGTTTCTGTTTCATAAAGCTTTCTAAAAAATTGTCCCATATTGTTTCAGAAAATGGCTTCAGTGATCTATCCAAAGCAAACCATACGGACATTTAAGCTGATCAGATATAACTCAAAAATAAACATTTGGGTAGCACATTTTAAAGACAGTTTGCCAAAATTAATATAGAGATAATTATTGACAATTACTAGAATTGGTCAACAATGAAATTCTATTGAAAGGATATCTGTATTTTCTAAAGATTTTCAAAAATGGAAAAAGAAACACCACCACAGTTTACAAAATGAAATAAAAATCAAAATCACGCATTTTTTCATCTCAATGCACACAGACAGCTATTCAGCAATACAAATATATTAAGAACACAATTAATGAACACAAATGTGTTTAATGAAATATTATGTTCAATAGATTTATATTGGAAATTTCTTTTTCCATGTTGAAAAAGAAGGCGTAGAATTATATCACAAGGCTTTTGTGATGCCATGTTTCTTTCAGAATTACTTTTTTCAAAGTACTTTTTTTTTTTTTTTTTTTTTTTGTATCTTACCAACCTTTCTTTTGTCAAAATGATGCAGCACACTAAGAAAAAAAAAAAATAAAAGACACTCCCTCATAACACTTCTCTAAAACCCTGGAATCTACTGATAAATGATTTTTTTCCTTTTATCTGAAGTGTAGCTGTTAGCAGGTACTTATTTCACAGTGTGAGCACTTTTTACAATTAGCTATGCTGTAATAATAGCTATGTTTCTTTTCTCTATTTGAAGGGAGGTATTTAAATTCATGGTTTAAGGCTCGCTAAGCCAAAAACACTGTCCATTTTGTATGTATCTATGTATGATAGCATACATCCTAGTCAGTGAAATCCCATCCATACTGAAGCTGTGAAGAATTTTGCTACTGTATCCTTAGTCTGTTGTTTCATATTCAGCTAATGTGCGGAATCCTCACTGTTGCCTGATTTAGCCCAGTA